CCCCTTCGCCCTCCCTTTAGCGTCACTTACGGTATCATCCGAAATCCGGTGTTCTTGGGTAATACAGTAGGATCAAGACGCAGATGGTTGGAACCGATACCAAAATGGGACTAAAGATTTCTGGAGGGGTCTAGGGGTTTTTTTAAGTACCGAAAAAAGTGGTTTTGCGGTAAAACTAGATGCAAGATTTTTCCCTGTTTCGGAACCTGTGTGCAGGTTTGGTTCCAGGTTATCTCAAATCATAGTTCGAAATTTAGCAGAATTAAAAGTGTATTGTTAGGTTTGCAAGCTATTTTTGAGTCTTAGGCCAAATCCTCAAGCTTTGTTGCTGTGAAATATTAACGATTGGTTTGGTTAGTAACCGTTTTTGTATTTCTATTAGTGTCTTAAAAAAATCGAAGAAAAATTGAGGGAAGGCAACTTAAAACGCGATCACGAAGCTGATTGCCAGGTAATGCAGCCTTGGTCACGGAACTAATGAAATGATTGACAAATGCATGATAAAACAAACGTAAACACTGATAAACCCATAGCTGGGTGCTGGTACCAAGCCGGTACCAAGAGTCAAAAAGTGTGTTACTTCTGGTACCACGTATGAACGTGTCGATGGATCGAAGGAACCAGTTAGGCTGCTAAGCTGAACCAGACACATACCAACCCGGTACCAACAGTTAAAAAGCGTGCTACTTTTGGTACCACGTATGAACGTGTCGATGGATCGAAGGAACCAATGTGGCTGCTAAGCTGAAACACAGACAAAAGATAGTTTATTGTATGAGACACTGACACTGGGCAGAATGAGTAATCGATGAATCACCAGTACTGGTTTGAATATATCGACTAATGAAAGGCCCTCAGACGGCAGATGCGGACGAATGATACACGCGGACCCCCGAATCAGCGAATTGCCGGTCTTATATACTGGTGTTTCTGTAATAGATATCACACATTGCATTTTCCGAAACGGCCTTCATCCAGGATTCCAGAATGGATGCCATGGGAACCAGGGTTGGATTATATCGTCCCAGATTCAACCTGCGATGGGAAAGTTGGCGGGAACGTGTCGATGGATCGAAGGAACCAATGTGGGTGCTAAGCTGAACCAAAGACAAAAGATAGTTTATTGGATGAGACACTGACACTGGACAGAATGAGTAATCGACGAATCACCAGTACTGGTTTGAATAGATCGATTGATGATAGGCACTCAGACGACAGACGCAGACGAGTGATACACGCGGACCCCGAATCAGCGAATCGCCCGTCTTATATACTGATGTTCCTATAATAGATATCACACATTACATTCTTCGAAACGGCGTTCATCCAGAATTCTAAAATAGACGCCATGGGAACCAGGGACCAGACAGCTGCCCCAAACCCCCATTATTTCGGATGTTAAATTTTTTTGCAGGAAACAGTGGAATTTCGAATGTGAATAAGCTGCGGAATGATTTACGCCGTACATATCCAAGCCAAATCATCGAGAGCGACTGGGAGGCCATTTATGGTGGTGGTTTGAACCTGCGTGCCAACATTCTGTTCGCATCACCCACCGAATTCATCATCGTTTTTCATGCTCCTCATCGAACATCCGGCTTCTCAGGTTGGTTTTTTTTCCTCTTTCGGTAATCTGTTGTTCTGCGTTTTTCATGTTGTATTTTGATGTGCAAAAATCCTATTTCTTTTGGCATATAGCAACCTTGAAAGGGGGCTGAGAAGGGAAAGTTGGAGGTGGGGCGGGGAGGAGGAGGGGGGAGAGAAGAAGTACGAAGAAAGAGAAAGGGAAACAGAAAAGGGTATAATTTACTGTGAAAAGAATGAAGTTTTTTTTATGATGATGTGTAAAAAATGTATTAAAAAAATATAAATCTAAAATATATAAAATATATGAAATATAAAAATAAATAAAAATAAAAAATATAAATAAAAAATTTAAATATGAAAAATAAAAATTAAAAATCAACGGTACGGAATTTTTCGGTCCATTAAATCGCATACATTTCTATTCAGCACCACAACTGAACCCCATCAGTGGGACGGTTGTGGTGTTGATTAATTAATTGGTTATTTAAATATGAAATGCTTGCAAATATGAATGAATACAAAAGTGAAATCTAAGGAAATTTATACGCTCTGAGATTCTATGACAATAGTGATCTACTTATAAAATTGCAAACAGTGTTTAATTGTTTGCTGTGGGTTTACTGGTCTGATAGCGTGAGTTATTTAAAAGTGGTGAAAGATTGGCACATTGATGCAAACAGATTTGTGTAGAATTTTCTACTTATACTCTTAGTATGCCTATGTGGTTCATCCTTATTTTTAGCGCCATCCACAGGCAGATTCAGGAG